TAAAAAGTATGTTTTTACTAGCATCTGGGTAAAATTAGATCAAATTTTGAGGTTCTAAGTCAGGGAAATTGTGTGTGGGGGAGTATGACATATGAAAACATAACCTGACTAAGCCAACCACATTGGGATCATGTTTGTGCCTACATTTGCTGTCTGCATCAAAGAAGGGGAGCTACAGTGAACACTTTAGGCAGAGTGCCAAGGAGCTCTGACTTTTTTCCTATCCCATTGGGAGGACTCGGACCCAGATTCCTGACTTTCTCTCTGGCTTTGGAATGTCATGAACTACTCCAATCCTGAAGCTTCTGGATATGCTGGGGGTGAAGGCCCATGGTGCCTTTCTGCTGACTCAGAGTTATTTCTGGTGCTGCTATTCACTACATCCATCTTTCTGAGCTTTGCCAGGCTAGAAGGAAGGGAACAGTAGGTAGTAGGTAGTAGCAACATGTCAGCTGTCAATACAGAGTCACCCCAAGACAGGGGATGTCCTTGAGGTTATCCCAACACCACACCATTTTCTGAGCAAATAACAGAAAATGGCAAGACTTTCCTGTTGTAAGACAGCAAAGGGGTCCAATTACCTTACACGGCATCATGCAAGGTCAACCTTACTGGGCACCCTTGGGCTTCTCTGTCTGACTCAGCAAACAGGAAGTCATAAGAACACAGGGTTCTTCCCTGAGAGACAGGCCTATCCCAGCTCCACTTAGAAAGATGGCCTTGGGTCCTTTTAGAATTGTCTGCCAAGAGAAAACACTTTCAAGAGAATGGGAACCTAAAGGCTACTTTGGCCTCTGAGCAGTTATGACAGAGTGGGATGCCATCTTCTCTGACTCTTCAGGCAGGGGTGCATGTGACCTCCACCAGTCACCTTCAGAGTTGGCTCTGTGGGAGATACCTGGCTCAGCAGACAAGAACTCCCAGAATGCTAGACGCAAACACATGTGACCTCAAAGAAGACAAATGGATCATCCTCTGTGCTGTGGCAGAGACGGAGACTCAGGGCCTCTGGATTGGGGACTGAATTGGCCCCAGACTGGACCCCCATCCTACCTCTGACAACCTATGCCTCCTCATTCCAAACCCTAACTCCTGCTTCCTGGCTCTGCCTCTGCTACCTTTTCAGACAGACTGCCCAGGTCTCCAGTCCACGCCCTGAGGCCACGGTTTCATCATGAAGCTGGCAAAGCCTACTCTGAGCATACCTTAGCCCACAGGTATGATGAGCTCCAAGCACAAGGAATTTGAAAATGGTACCTCCCAATGTGAGAGGAACACGAGGGCACAGAGATTGACAAGCCCAGGAAGAGCCAGTGAGAGGATAGAAGGTAGAAGGGGACAGATGCAACAGAAAGTGAGAGATGTCCCCTGGAAAACACCCTCCTGGAAAGCACAGTTTAACTAATGTGGCCTTGTCCTGAGTGTACTGACTGTGTCCTCAGAGCCCCCAGACAGCACTGTGCTGCTCACAGAACCTGACCATGCTTCAGGAAGGTTCAAAGAACAGCACTAAGGTCTGTGGCTTGTTGAGCAAGTGCTCTCCACACTTTCAAAGAAGAGCTTCCAAAGCCATGGACTTCACACACACACACACACACACACACACACACACACACACACACACACACACACGGAGAGGGCAGGACTGATAATGACTGTCCCCCAAGAGCCAAGCAAGTAAGAAGTGAGCTGCCACTCAGTCGTTTGAAGCTTATTTTTCCTTTTCCTTCTAAAAATGGGGCTTTGCATAGTTCACTTCAGTATATCAATACGTTCAAGAGTGAATCTCTGCCGAAGATTAGCTATTAAATGGAATCTGAACCATTAGTAACTGTTCTGCTCCTTGGAGAGCTTCAGGAAGCTTAAATCTTCCAGCCAGCTTATTCCAAGTCACCAGGCATCTCTTTTGATGCAGATGAGGAAAAGCGTGCCCAGGCATGAGCATTGGTCTCAGCAAATATTACAGAATGAAAGGCAGCATCAAAACTTACCCCAATTCAGGGTCAAAATTCCACAGATCTCTTTCACAAAAGTTCTTATTTCATTGAAGCATATGGAACAGAGGCACTGCAAGCTAAGGCTCTGGGTCTTGCTCATGCCGAGGGAACAGGTGACTCCAGGCAAGGGCGGCCCTACTGGTTCACCCAGTTCCCATTTTTCTCTGGCCCACACACAGTTTCCCAGTAAGTGTTTCTCCGTGGCTGAGGGTCCCCTGAGCTAAGACCCACTGCATTGATTCTAGTACAGTCCTTCTGGGGAGAAATCAAGCATTTTGATCATCTCACTGACCTTGAAGCTGGAGGAGTCTGTCCTATACAGATCCTGCTGCTGCACACAGCCAAGAAGTGTAACAGGAGCTTGCTGGGCTCAGCCTAGAAAAGGCCACTGTGCTGGGCGGGGCCGGAGAGTCCCCTACCAATCCCACTTCAGATGTCCAGCTACACTGGCTCCCACAGCTGTGTCCTTGAAGGCCAGCTCCTGACTCTTTTGCCACTGGGCCAGGCGTCCTTTCTAGAACTTGCCATTTCTGTGAAATGTTTGCCTTTCCCTTGAATAGGCAGACCTTTAACTTGGCCTGCCAAGCTGCATCTGTAGACAATTCTTGCTCTGAGATGGTCCTGCAGCTCTCCTGGAGGGCAGTCCTAGATCGGGGTAAAGGGCCAGCAGAGGGAACTACCTACCTGTTAGGAGGGGAGTAGGTGTTAGCCCTGGAGAATAAAGTCTGAGAGGAAGTCTCAGGTGGCCTCTTTCTAGCTGTTAGAGAGAGAACCAGGAGCGATCAGGGAAGCCCACACAACTTGTCTGGATTTGGGTTCAGGGGCAGTGATCGTTGCCATCATGTTCACGATCAGGCTCTCGGAAGCCTAGAATGGACTTTCTCACTTTCTATCCATACACACCAGCTTACATGACCACCAGACCTTATCCCCACTAAAAATAGCCTCCTAGGACATCCGCCACTGGAAGGTGCCTATGAATAGTAACGGACCACCCTGGTTTTGGACGGCAGCCCTGCCATTTCAAAGGATCTTGCCTAGGCATCTCCTGGCCATCACGTCCACCTGCAGCTACGTCCACGTCACCCACTCACCCCTTCCTTACTCTTCTCAGGCACCATCAGGCTCAGAGAGTTTCTCGACAGGAAATGCAATTCCCTAAGTGGGATGTTGTCCTTCTTGGTCAAAGTTTCCTTAAACTTGACCCAGAGCAAAAGCACTTTTGTTTAGCCTTTGCGTGAGATGATGTGTGCATTCGATGCAAACTAGGAGACACAGGAATGGGGTCTCCTGAGAGCTGGGAACAGTCTTTATTTGAGTGTGCACACATCCACTCTCCTCTGCTGTGTGCTGAGGAGTCAAGCATTTCACCATGTGTTCCTTACAGCCCAGTTAACTTGTGCACTCGCTGTCACTAAGACGTGGCTTATCCTGATCAGGAAGTTTTGACAAACTGATTCCCTTTCAGCAAGTGATATACTCAGATATTTTCTAGACTTTTCTATTATTTCATTAAAGCAATCTGATTGGTGCCAACCACAAAACTTCATGATCCTTCAGGATTGTCATCCCAACTGTAATACTCTGTCATCTTGGGTCCCAGTCCTGAGCCCCAGTGGCCTCCTCTGGTACCATGGGTGTCAAGCTGTAAAGTGTGGGGCTGAAGGGTGGAACTCTGTGCTAGAATGGGGCAGAGGGGAAGTGGAGACTCCTTTGAAAAATAGCTCTTGTGCTCATACATGCTTGTTTCAGAGTCAGTTCAGTGACCTGACACAGTCCTGCTCCCAGATTCAGAAAACCACAGGCTTTGGGGAGGATGGCAATGTAGATTTTTAAAAGTCTCTCTCTCTCTCTCTCTCTCTCTCACACACACACACACACACACACACACACACACACACACAAATCCCTTTTATTTCCCTTTAATTTTTTGACAATTAACATTTAAGGCTCCCCTACCCCCCTTACCTTCATAGCTTGTATTTTGCAGGTTAAGTTTATACAAGTTGGGTCAGAAGTTGGGGGACTTGTTGAGGAAATCATTGTTCCTTTCTAAGCTTGTGATAAAGAATCTACAACAGGGACAGGAAATCTCTACAATTGACTCACAGCAGTTTTACACAAGTGTCTGAAAGTTCAGCTAACACAATTCCCATCACACCCTTTCTATTACTTTCTCCTCAGCGCCAGTCCCCAAGCTCATGCTGATGGGACCGTATGGCTGGATTTTGCCATAGGGAGAACAATGGAAATGAGTGTGCAACTGCTATGTCGCTTGCTTTAAGGTGACACAGAAATCTGTTCTGGCCTTACTTCCTTAGCCATCCTGAATGTGTCTGGCATGTAGGTAGAGCAGGTTCCAGATGGGGCCCTCAGGGAGGAGCAACCTTGTGAGGTGGCTAAGCAGGAAGATGTGCAAAGCCTGTGTCCTTGTGTCTGTCCAGCCTGGGTGGTTCACATCACAACTGGAAATGGAAGCTAGGGGTCGTCTTTCTGCCGTTTGTTTTCGTGCTCAACAGCTGTATCCCGACTCAACCCTAGACGCAGGGACAATCTCTTCTAAGCATTTTCATATATATTAGCCCACATAAGCACCACAGTCATTCTAGACATGGACGCGAGTCTTCATTTTTTATAAGATGTAACCTGAGACAACACAGATGCTCTTGAAGGTCAGAGTTAGTGGTGACTGGGTGAGAATCCACCCTCGAGTGACATGAGCTGCCTGGGCAGGGTGGGTTCTCTGTGCCCAGAAGTAGCCAGGCATGGGCTGTGGATGGCACTGGAACAGACTTAAGGACTAGAAATGGAGTGGACAAAGCAATCCTTTGGAGGACCTTGCCCTCTAATTCTCTGCTTAGCCATTTAGTCTGCAAAAACAAACTCTTCTAAGTGTTCTTTGTACCTGAGCCGCAGAAGTAAAAGGATAAATAAAAGAGCCAGTTGGTGTGAAGGACAGTGCCAAAATGGAGAAGATAAATGAAGAAACCAGAGACTTCTGAGTACCGAAGAAAGGCGAAGTTTAATTTGCATATCGGCATAACCTCTGCCTCACTTGGCAAGTGCTAGGCCACAGCATGAATCCCTCATTAGAGTTACAAATGACAGCAGATGTGCAAAGTAACCAGACACATTGTGTTTCTCTGACTAACACGTGTGTTTGTACACCCAAACACACACATACATACAAATAATAAGTACATTTCAATCCTCTGCAAAAGAGAGCCCAGAATGGTAACAGTTAGCTCACAGTTGTACTTTAAAGTTAACATTTGGTCCTCAGGACAGTCCAGTGAGGTAGACAGCACAGGAATTATGATTAATCCCATTTTGTAGATGAGGAAACTGAGACTCAGAGGTGTAAACACTGACCCAAGTCTCTTCTGCTGGACAGTGCAGAGCTGGGCTGAGACTCAGGTCTGGTCCAGCGCTCTTTGATGACCAGCTTTCTGGTGAAAACTGAAATGCATTGTGTAAAGACAGTGGTTCGACATTGTGAGGGAGGGTGATAATTTTCCTGGAGCAGATCCGGTAAAGAACAGTCAGCCCTAACCTTGATGTCATGCCTTGAGGCAGCTGAAATGGAAACTGCTAGGTCACTCATGTGCCTGCCCTACATCCAAAGGTCCCTCTAGACTTCTGCTCTGTCCTGCTGTAAGCTAACAGCGGCCTCTGAATGGATGCTGGCTACACTCCACTGACTACAGCCGTATTCCCAGGAATCACATAGTGATATCTTTAAAAAGTCACTAAACTTACAATCTTATTTCTGAATTCATGAAAATTAGTTCCATTCATTAATTTCCTCCAGCTGTGGACATCTGCTTGGCTAAAAATAGCATATTTTAAAAAATAGCATATTAACTTTTATGCCATCTTAACCTTAGTAAAAATTATAAATCTTGTAGGTTGGATTTAAAAGAAACACATTTAAACCAGGAGATCTTTTCATGGGGAATAACACTAAATGTTGGAAGGAAAACCTAAGTAAAATCCTTTTTTAAAATGTGAAAGTTGACAGTTTTAGGAGTGACCACTTTATTGCATTACTCTTAGGGTAAGAGGAAATCACTGGTGGCCTACAATCTTGAGAGAAGGGGAAGACCATGGCCACATTAAATGGTTTACAGTGGCTCCTCTCTTCCGCACCCAGCATCTGTGAGCTCCATTTGTTTACATGTCGGATTTGAGATGCTCTGATATCCAGGCAGTAAAGGAGACTGTTAGAGTCACTCTAGAGTATTGTCTCAGCACTTTAAAATTCCCTCTTTAGATTCCTCTGGGAAATTGCAGAAGAAAAGCAGCAGCATTGAACTTCATGCCTGAAACATCACATAGACTGGCTTCAGTAAGAGATTTGTTTCTGTAGTAAGAGCAGATGTCTAAGTTAGGCATCCCCAAAGTCCTTAAGGTAATTCTAACCACAGAACAAAATGTGCTCGTTTGAAAGCATGGAATCTGGCTGATTTCCTGTTAATTTTGCAGTACAGTTGTTTACCACTTGACCATTTAAAGCTGGCCTCCCAAATGCTCTTAGAAATGCATCTCAGAAAGTGGGGTATTGGTAGACACAGATGGGAGTGCATGTGTTGTTCCCCACAAATACATACAAGGCTTCAACAATCAGAAGGGAACCACTCGACCAAGTTGACGTGTTTTGTTTTCAAATGTGTATCCCTGCCTTGGCTGGCCCATGAACGATTCAGGTCTCTTTAGCAACAACAAGCCAAAGGAAATCCTAAGTGAGCAAAGGAGTGTCATTGCCTGCAAATGACCACTGGGGACGCTTCCTACTGCCTACTGGAAACAGGCTCCGAAGTAGACCCACTAGCTGAAGAAAAGCTGCCCATCAACAGGAGAGGAGTGCTAGAAATTCCTCCCAGTTTTCTTTGGCTGCAGTGGCCTCTGGGATAGCATTGGAGAAACAGGAACCCAAACTCCCAAGGAAAGTGCACACAGACCCGTCCTCTGCAGGGTGGGATGGGGGAGGGGAGAAGGCAGTGCCAGTACCCCTTGCCCAGGAGTGACTTGTGTGAAACTAGTATGCTGTGGTACTCTCAGGAATGCTAACCTTACTTTTTCTCTGTAAGACTTTGGGGTGTTGCCGTTAGTGACACAGTATTTCCAATGCTTGGCTTCTGAACACCGAGAAATAAACAAGCCTTGAGGTATGCACAATTAGGAGCCAACAGCTCATGCTTTCATCATGCATCGCTATACATCAACATCTTATTTGAAACTGAAGAGAACAAGCAAGCAAGTCGGAAAATAAATAAATAAAAAGGAGAAAGCATTCCTAAGTGGCCCTCGGGGGTCTTAGTGCTACACTGTTGGCTAAAATGAACCAGTGAAAAGATTTTTGGAGTGGGATTCACAAAATATAATTTTTTAAAAAATTAGCTTATACTGCAGTTATGTACAGGGATGACCCTTACTGTGAGAACAATATACTTTCTCTATTCTATGGGACTTTGCCAATACTATCTCTTTCACTGGGCCTTTGGAACTAGCGAGTGGAATGCATTAGCTGTTAGCTCTATCACATAATGAAAATGCAAAGGAAGAGGGGAAATTGCCAGGCAGATCAATCTTATGGTCAGCATCAATCAGCATCATGCCTCTAGGAGAAATCGCCAGGTACGCTCGGCTCAGGGTAATAACAGTAATCCCTCATTGCCATCGCTCCCTCCTTCTAAAGTTTAGTCTCCCTGAGAACGGGAGAGGGAGGTAATCAAGGAGAGCCCTATTCATTGAACAACTGACCATTGGGTGGAGCATGGGGCACTTCCCCCAGCTTGGCGTGCAAGGCAAACCCCAGCATTTGGTTTGCTACTGTAAGAGCTAAGGCATAGCCAGTGCCATTTCCCACACACTGAGAATGTTCTCGCTCCGATCTTTTTTTTTTTTTTAAACAAAGAAGACTGGGATGGGAGAAGACTGTCTACCAATAGCACATGGAAGTGTGGGCTTTCAAAAGAAGAATGCTACAAAATGTTTGTTTTTAAAGTACAGCCAATGTTCATAATGAGCCCGAATACGTTGTATACATTGGGAAAGGTTTCTACAGCATGATAGGGGAAAACAAGTGAACCCAGGTACAAGGATGATCTTTAGGTCTCCATTTTTGCTTTGTGAAAGTCATTCCTCGCCATAGCACTTGGCGGCCTTATTATCACACCCCACGGTTTTGTTGGTTAACTGACATGGGCATGTACCTTACTGCAGCCTCCGCAGCTGTCTCTCCCAGGACCAATCTCTCGATGAAGTCCCCATTCAAGCCTGTGGGGTGCTGCTTACTTGTAATTAAGGAAATGCTACTAACAAATCCACTTGTTTTTTAGTCTTTTATTTCCTGTCCCATTGCCTAAAGGCTGAAAGGCTGTTTGCAGAGCACGCCACTCCTCCCATGCGTGTAGAATGCACTGAGAACCATGCACATGCTGCATACTGAGACTGCTTGTGTGGGGCCTAGAGAAGAAGCTTCAGCCTAGCCGTGACGCTTGGTGAAAAGGAAATGGAATGGAAGCAAGTAAGTCATAGAAGACTGGTAGACGCAAGCCCAGGCTAGTAGAATGCCAAAACAAACCATTACAGGCCTTCTCTGTGGGCTCTTGTCCCCAAGTTCTAACAGAACATGGGACAGGGGAATTTTACCTTCATTCCACTTCATTATAATGGTTACCAGCATCTCCCACATTACATCCCTTATGCAAGCTGTGCCATAAGCTTCACTAAGGTTCAAGGTTTACACCTTCCCATCCATGGCTGGAGCGTCTGTCTTTGACCCATGCAGCTGGGCTTCACTCTGGCTGGAGACGGAACTGCAGTCTGGTTCCATCTTCGGTGGTGAACTGAAGCAGGTGTTGTCTCTCTGGGTCCCTGCCGTGCCATGTGTGACACACTTTACACGAAATTCCCATGCTCTCAGGGACAAGGCCAGATCTTCAAGCAGGGAGTCGAGGTTCAATTTTGAGTGATAGCTCATAGAGTGTATCTTCATCTATGATGAGGGCCTTGTCAAGCAGGTACTGTATGACCTGAAAAGAGAGAGGGAGAGAGGAGAGCCCAGGTGATGCTTCTCTCAGGAGATCAACTGTACCTCTTCTGAATGAATCTGACACAACTCAACATTTTCCCTGAGACATTTGGAATTTTTGTAAAACAAAAACTAATGAATATATTGCTATTATAAAAGTAGTCCTCTCCCAACCTCTAGTTTCAGTCAGCACTCTTGAGGGCTGTTGCCATTGGTGCATGGAATCTCAGTTGTGTTAGTGTGCATTGATAGGCATCACACATATGAACAGTATTAAGTTTAACCTCATAGTGATAAACAGAATCATCTATCAAGGTTTGATGGGGGATGTTCTTCTGTATGTATGTTTCTCTTATTGGTTGATGAATAAAACACTGATGGGCCAGGCATTCTCCTCATCCAGTGAGGTAGACAGCACAGGAATTATGATTAATCCCATTTTGTAGATGAGGAGAATTCTGGGAAGAGAAGGGCAGTAGATACGCCATGCTGCTGAGGGAGTAACATGCTGGATTATGGGTAAGCCAGAGCCTCGTGAAAATACATAGATTAACAGATATTGGCTAATAATTTAGAGAGAGCTAGCCAATTAGAAGCCCAAGCCATCGGCCAACAGTTGAATAATTAACACAGCATCTGTGAGTTTATTTGGGGCTGAAGGGCGGCAGGACCTGACAGGACAAGAAACCGTCCACAACAAAGGTTTACTTTCCTCTTTGCAACACAGGCACGTGGAGGTTGACTGCTTCCAGACTTGAGGGTGTAGCCTCTCAGTGGTTTTAATGATGAGTAGCACATTGACACGTGTGGAGCTGTGGTTAGTAGTTTACAGCCCGTGGTCAGGGTGAAATCCTTGTCAGCTTGCTTCCTTGTGTGCATGTGTACATGCTCTGATGGACAGGTCATGGACAGGTACGAGGGATAAGGAAAAGAAATGGCACTAGGAACGCAGGTGTAAGGGGGGTAATGTATTTCCTGGAAAATATTTCCTTCTTATTGAAATACAATGTCTATAATTCATTTGAGTATAGTTCTGATAGATACATACACTCACTGTTCTAGGCTTATTTCTGTTGCTGTCATGAACACCATGACTGGAAGCAACTTTGGGAGGAAAGGGTTTATTTCACCTTACACTTTATAGTCCATCATTGAAAGGAGCCAACGTAGGAACTCAAGGAAGAAACTGAAGCAAGCTACTTTTTACTGTTTTGTAAGAAAACTCTGTCTAGTTGTAGAGTGAATTTTGTAGTCTAGAGAGGTCAGAAGGGGATGGGAGTACTGGGAACAGAAGGAAGAGGACCAGATCCCAAGAAACATGTGCTCAACAATGAAGACACGATGAGTTGATCTTTTCAGCTTCCCCTTTCTCAGTCAGAGTTGCTGATCATTTCTCGTTTAGGTCCTTGCTGTAAGTGAGCTTTTGATATTACTTGGCTATGTGGTTTTTATATAGTCCAGTGATTTCTAATTTCTAATAGCTCACAGTGTTACCTTTGGCTGCTGGTCTATGCGGTAAGCAGTCTGCTGGAACTGGCGTATCTCGCGAATAATGTGTGATATCTAACAGCAAACAAAATCCAAAACAAGAGCAATTCAGAAACAATCCCCCGCATCACAATGCATTGTCCTAGAGTGACATCCCTGACCCTGTTCTCCATGGGGTAGGAGGAGCCATGTCTGATCACTTCCTATACCTTCAAGGGTAAAACCAAGAAGAGGGCCCTGAACTCATAATCACTGTGTCAGGTGATGCTGGGTCATCTCAAGGAGACCACAAGCTAGGGACAGGGAGAAGCTCTGAGTTCTGCTTCTTGTGGGTTTCTAGCCTCTAACTTGGTATTTGGAATATGGCTATCTAGCAAGGAGAGGCATGCATCTGCCTACTGGTCAGTCTCAGAAAATCATCTTTGAATCTTTATTGGCCACAGCCTGGACCCAGGCTTCAAGAAGTCACTGCCAAAAATCTCTCCAGCTTGAGACAACATGGGTCTCCACCCTCTTTTCCACCTCAAGGGTCAGAGGCTAACACCACCCTCATTACCTAGCCTCTTCTCACTAAGCAGTGAGGTTGCCGACACAGTTCAATCACGGAAGGGCCACCTACCATTCGCATTTTAGAGAAATTGACAAGGCCTTCTTCCGTAAAATTCGGTGTTCCTTCTTCAATGAAGGCCAGGTCTGTCAAGTACATCCCGAGGTAAGGGACAGCGGGAGGGTTACAGCTGCAAGGCCAGGAAGAGTGGTTCTTATTCCTGCACACATACAGTTAGGACTTGCACCACAGGAAAACCATTTTCCGTTTAGCTGGTTTGGAAATGCTTTAGAAGACTTGGATTTAACAGCCATCACAGCTACACTCTTAAGCCATGAGGGAGACTGTTGTGAGATATTCGTACACCGTGGGAAGATGTATTGCTGTGATTTGTGCAATAGAGAGTGGAATGGCAAATAGCCAGGCGGGAGAGGATAGGTGGGGTTTCCAGGGAGAGAGAGGAAGAGGAGGAATCTAGGTGCTCCGGTTTCAACAGCAGACTGGGAATAAGTTGGATGTGTCATACTGAGGATAGGTAACTGAGCCATGTGGCAGAATATAGTTTAAAATTATGGGCTAATTGAGTTGTAAGAGCTAGTTGGGGACAAACCTAAGCTAAATGCCAAGCTTTCTGAATTAACAGTAAGTCTCCATGTCAGTGTTTGCAGGCTGGCAATCCGGATGAGAAAGTATAACTACAGGAGATACTTGTTCAAGTGAACTGGGTCTACTTAGTCTTCCTGGTAAGGCCTGAAGCTACCGATATGGCTTCTGGTGCAGAGAGAACAGAATTTGAATCCTGGCTTGACCAGTTGCTCAGGGGTACTGTACAGGGTGCTCCCTGGTCTACACTTTCCCCAACTGTAATGGAGACAGAAAAGTTAATCTCTGAAGTTTATTGTGAGGCTTAAGAAGTTTATTATGAAGTACCTTACATGCAGTGTATAAATATTTAGCAAGTACTTGCTAGCAATGCTAGTATTGCTTTTACTAATGTAGCAATGTGTAGATGATTATCACATTTCTTTTACCAGTGTGACACAAGACAAATGTTCTCCCAGAGTAAGCCAAATTCATGTGTTAAACCACAAGAAAACCAGTGACAAGCAAAAAAGAGTTCTTGTTCTCCCCCTTCCCCGTGTGTGTGTGTGTGTGTGTGTGTGTGTGTGTGTGTATAGAAAGAATGATGTAGATATAAAAGACCAAAAAGTAAATACAGTAATAACATCAATCAACAGCTTATGGGATATTTACATAAAAATTCACAGTAGATCATCATGTTTAGATTAATAAATACTAAATTAACAAATTTACATCAATTTATGGTAATACTTTTCTATTTGGGATATACTGCATACATCTCTAGTATAATTCCTATATGCACAGAATCTATAAGATGCTCACTGTGCACTGCATCCATACATACACATCGTGATATATCCATAAGATGCTCACTATATGCACAGAATTCCAAATGAAAAAGTAAAGTCCCCAAACACTGCAACAATGGGAGCCCCTCCCTATTTCTTCTTTTCCAGCAATGAAGGGGCAGATCACTATTTGCATGGCATGTAAATTATTTGATCATATTCTTGAATTGTGAATTGTTTCATGATTACAATAGACATACTTTTTAAGAGTTTCTCTGAGGTTTTTAAATCTTCCTTCAGATGAAACAGTCTTCTGAAGTTTGTCCATCAGAGCTTTTGTCTAAAAAGGAAAGAAACAACAACTTAGTTTGTCAAGAAAACACTGTCATTTGATGAGAGTGGGTAACTGTAGGACACTTGGTTCTTTTCTTCAGTGGCAGGTGCTGATGGCACTTAATGTTTAAAAGAAGGGAAGGATCCCACAAAAGAAGAAATGCCAATACCCAGGCTTTTGCCACAGGATGAGGATAAGTGTAAAGAAACTGTGATAGGGACTTGAGCACACACTGAACGATCATCTTAAAGGGGGAGGCCTCCTAAAAGGGATTGCAGGACCACACCCGTTCTTCTGTTGAAGTGCTGGACATGTGTGCCACTTCTGAGCTACATGCCCAGCCCAGGGTGAATCTTTTTCAGTATGACTCTCCAAACCATCAAAACAAGCATTTGGCTGCTTTGATGTAAACTAAACAACACCCTCTATTCCAAATCCTTTCTTGGTGATCATGCTCATGAATTTGCTCCAGAAGTTTAATTCTATCCTTTACAAATACTTAACAGTGCTGTTGACATTGGTCTGGAGTTTCTTTCATAGCCACGGAAGAATGGCAGTGTGGCCCTGGGGGATGGGATGAGGACTTACTCCTGGTAGGCCACACACACAGGCATATTGGTGGGGCCTGATGCTCTAGGGCTAACTGGGGGAAGCATTTGGCATGCCTAGGTTGAAGATCACATGACCATGACATGAGCTAGAGGAGAGTTATATAGTTTCCTATCAGTTTCTACAACAATCCAAGATGTAGCCATCCCCATCCAAAATTCTGAGATCTCATAGGGGCCTCCTTCCTGATACAGAACTGGCCATGGTCCAAAGAAACTTTACAAGTACAATCTCCCAACAGACAGTTACAAATCTAGAGAGTTCCACAGACCTTTTGGGCATCTTCCAGAGTGATCTCAGACCTGCTGTGGGGAAGGCATTATTGCCAAATTTGTTGGAGGCAGGCACCTCAGTGACCAGACCCTTCTGACTGTGACTGGAGTGAGGTACTTGGTTGCAGATACCACCACTCTAGTGAACAATCAAACACCTCATACTATGGCAACAGCCAGTGACTCATACATTGACTGAAACAGTTATAGTCTATTTGATGACATTACCACATGGCCCACAAAACTTGGTACAGTAATTTTAACTTAAGCTAAGAGTCTCTCATCCATAGTTATCACCATTCTGTACCCACTCAAGGTCAAGAAAAACCACTGAAGTTAAGTTTTAGATAAGGCCTGGGACTTCCTTAATGATTGAAGGAGGCCTTGGCACAGTTCACCAGTTTTAACCAATTAAATAAAAGAATGGCTCACTTATTTCCTGACTGGGATGGTGTGTGCATACATGTGTGCATGAGTGTGTGTGAGCGTGCATGCGTGCATGTGGGGGGGGGAGCTTCAGTGGAGAGAAGGGATCTATATAAGGGGAAAATGGTCTTTATATCATTTTTATGGCTATCTATGAATCTATGGTTGACTTAAATGGAGTTTTATTCTTAGTCACATAATAACACCATTTTTTAAAATGTAAGACCTTTACTCGCCATTCCAGGGTTGTTGGCCCAGATTTCTAAGGTCCAAGTTCAGGTTCCCGGCACTGCTTTTTTACAAAGGAATAAATGGGAGGGGAGCTGTGAGAGCCTGCTCCCTGGTGACATGGCGAAGTTAAAGCAACTCGTGCTCTGTAGAGGAGGGTTCAGAGAGATTAGTGAAGACAGAAGAAGTGATGAGTTCATCGGAGGGGGTCAATAGCACCAAAACCTGAAGAAATGGCAGCAGGGTACATTTATGCCCATTTGATCTTGCCCTGAGCATTGTGAGATGCCCTCTCCAACTCCCGTGGGTATATCAATGTTCATAGCAAAGTGCATAGCAGTAAAAGGTTAGAAGGTTAGACTAAGAGTACATGGCACAGACTTCCTCCCAACAGGTATTTTAAAAAGTATGGAAGATTCCTGGGAGACCCTTTGTGAGGATCAAGGTGGTAACCCAATCATGGAGAGTTCACATACCCTACAGGGTCACCAATGGCACAACAGCCTGTGGTGAAGGTGAGACACACCCTAGGCTCAGAACATGAGCAGAGCAGATGGAGTGGACAAGGCTAGTCCAACTCCCCTGGAACGATCATGGATTGTTGCTCCTGGGCAAGTTGGGGAAACCACGTGCACACCAGGAACATCCTACACCTGATGACCAATCAGTGAAGGACTAGGGTCACAGGTGGAGACAGCCTTCTAGAAGTCCAGAGAAAGTCTTCCAGACAGCATTTTGGAAGGCTTCTCCCAAACTCACCAATACCCAAGGAGAAGGCTGGAAGGGCTGATTTGACTATTGAAATTATCTGAGAGGAAAATAACAGAGGTAAGCTAAATCTAATGGAAGAAAACCAACAGTCACATGTCTGCATGTATAAGTCACCAGGCCAAAACTCAAAAGCTGCTCCCAGATGGACAGAGGAAGTGTTGTATATTGAGGTCTCTGGGGACAAAGGCTTTGGAGGAGATGGGGGCAGGGGAGGATTCACTGGACAGTTGTGGGCTAGTTTGCCCTCCAGAAAGAATTCAGGAAACAAGTCATGACTGACAGCCACTTTGTTTGAGGTTGTCCCCCCAAATGTTTTAATGAGTGTTTTGGAGACACACAGGAGGGGAATTAATTAAGTGGTAAGAGCAGGGTAATTATCTATTGGCACCTTCCTTTGGCAACTGTACTGCTCATTTCAACTAATGATTTCCTAATTAGCAGTATTCATCTGAGCTCTCTCCCCCCACCTCTCCTCCTCTGGGTAGCAAGGAGTGCGGCACACTGATGCTCACCTGCTTGGACACCTTGGCCCAGGTTTTCTTCAGCCTGTAGATGGCACTTCTGTTTAAGGCCGCGGTGATCTCCAGCACACCGTTGTAGTTGTGTAGACACCGGCAAATGTCTGCTACTGCAACCCACTTCTCAATGGCGTTGGCACGGGAGCTGATATCAGCATAATTCATTATCTGGGAGGCCACCAGGTTACTCATCTAAGCCAATCAAAGACACCAGTGAGCTGTCAAAGAGCCAAAACAGTGCACCCAGGATAATAGATGTGTGTCCCGTGAGTGCACAAGGAAAGCAGGTTATTAAGCAGCACAAAGCCTTCCGCCCATCTTTAGACACCATCTTCCAAAGAGACAGGAATTTGTTGTAATAATAACAATAGCAACAAACTACCCACACCTGTTCATCCTGAGAGCAGAGGCGGGGACTCCCTGAATCCACCCTGCTGGAGGAAAATTGGAGCTTTCTAAATCAGTAGTTTTGATGAAGGAATCTTTACCAAGAAAGGGAATGAAATGAATGACCTAATTACCGAGGAAAGGACATACTGCAGATCATGGTGTCACCTCTTAGGGACACGTATTTCTTTACCCCCAACTGTGTGTAGATAATATACTGTGGGAAACCTCAGTTTTCACAGAGAAAGGAAAACTGTGGGTTCCTACTCATCTGAATTCTTATATTTTTGGTTGTGAGTCTTTAATGGCGGAGTCATCTCTTCAGCCAGCCATTAATCTGAAGTCTAAATTGATCATCTCTCAAACCAGAAAATCACTTAGCATAGAAAAAGAAAGCACACTTCTTGCAAAATTTCACTGGCAAAACAGACAAACTCTGAAGCTAAGGATTGTAATTCTACTAACCAAGGCCAGCTGAAGCAGCTCAACTTTCAAAATGTGCAAAAGGGTGGTGGAATATAATCCTCATAAAGGGGGTGCATGCTATGTGTGATCTTGTTTCCTGGCATTACATCCCTTTGAGGACACTTAAGCTCTTACAGCACCATTGAGTGTCATGTAGAAAATCACTAAAACACATACTAGGGTTAATCCCTTGTTCAACTTTAATGTGGAGAATGACATAGAATCCGGTTTGTTGGGGGGAGGTGATCTTGTTAATCAATAATTTTGACAAGGACATTATTTCCAATAATTATTCAGAAAGTGATCTAGGACGGATTTGTCTTAGGTGCTAGGAACAAAAGGAGAAAGAAATCCACGTCCCTGACTGGTGCAGTTTGGATGTTGAGTGTTTCCCACAGATGAGGAGTCAATGGCTTGGTCCCTAGAGAGTGGCACTGTTGGAAGGTCCTGTGTCAAAGAGGCATGCGCTGAAGGGGATCGTGGCAACTATGCGCCTTCCTCTTCCACTCTTTTGTTTTCCGTGTGTGCTCTGAGCAGCTTTCTCTGCCGATAAACCTTTTCTCTTTATAAGTTAGTCATCCTGGGTATTTCACTATAGTAGCAGAGAGCTGACTAATGCCCTGGACTTACATTACTCTGAACCCAGCAACGAGGGATGAGGAGCAGAGGAAAATAAGTAAACAAGTAAACAGCAAACCGTGAAATGCAAAGCTATGCTTGTTCTGAGGCCAGGGAGACGGCTCAGTGGATAACGCACTTGCTGTGCAAGTAAGAGGACCTGAGTTTGCATCCTCAGCACTCAGCTAGGCATGTGAGGATGCGCCTGTAACTCCAGGGCTGGAGGAAGGAGCCAGGCAGACTCAGGAGCTCACTGGCCAGCCAGTCTAGCCATCTCACTACCTTGACCCATGCTGCATGAAGTGTCCATCTAATTATGGCACTCCCTGAAAAAATCCATCTGTGTTTTCCCTTCATCTTTAGGATCCAGGGCAGCCATTCGGCTGTTCAACTGAGCATGTAGGGGCCCTGACAATTTGTCATCCTTGTCGCCAGAGGTCCCTGTCTCCTCATCAGGATATCAGGTCCTCTGCTCTGCTATGATTTCCGTCTTCTTGTCTGTGCTCTTCTGCTGAGACAGGAAGTGATGAGTAGGGGACAGGAGGGAAGCACCTGTGATTTGTGGATTCCATGCCTGCCTGAAGACACGGTGATGCCACTCCCCGCATTAGAAGCTACAGAAGTAGGCTCAGCTACTGGGTAGTTTAGCACAAGACTGTCCTGGAGCAGGAGATGTGTGGGTCTGGAGCCTGGGGTTGACTCTTCAATAGGAGTGTCCCATGCATAGCCCAGGTGATGGAGCACATTCCTCACAGTACACCTCCACTTAACGTCTGTGTATTCTGAGTGAACCCTGAGCAGGGCTCTATCTTGGGACTCTGCACTATGGTCTTGGAGCCCTGGTTTTAGATGACCAGCTACCTTGCCAATGCAGATCCTTTGCTCATATAAACATCATCACTGTTCCTTATACTACACTGTGCTGAAACAGGAAAGGAAGCTTTCCTTTGCCCAGACAGCCCAGAAGCTACCTCCATGGCTGTTACTTATTCTCTCAAAGGACTAAACGAGGAGCTGGATACAACATTGACTCCTCCTTTTACTGCTGGAGACTGACAGTGGTAACCACTGCATCAATGAGCCTGTGCTGTAAGAAGTCCCTTCCTTTGGTGTTTTGGAGACTTGCTTCTTGAGTTCTTTGTAAATTTTGGAGATCAGCCCTCTGTCAGATGTGGGATTGGTGAATATCTTTTCCCACTATGTGGGCTGAATTCAAGAGTGGGGTACAGAACTAAATAGAGAATTCACAATAGAGGAGTCTAAAAATGGCTGAGAGACACTTAAGAAAGTGCTCAATATCCTTAGCCCTCAAGGAATGCAAATCAAAACAACTCTGAAATACCATCTTACTCCTGTCAGAATGGCTAAAATCAAAAACACCAATGACAGTTTATGTTGGAGAGGATGTGGAGAAAGGGGAACACTTCTCCATTGCTAGTGGGAGTGCAAACTCTTACAGCCACTTTGGAAATCAGTATGGAGATTCCTCTGGGAAATGGGAATCAGTCTACCACAAGATCCAGCAATTCCACTCTTAGGCATATACCCAAAAGATGCACATTCATACAACAAGGACGTCTGTTCAAACGTTCATAGCAGCATTATTTGCAATAGCCTGAACCTGGAAGCAACCTAGATGCCCCTCAACTGAAGAGTGGATAGAGAAAATGTGGTACATTTACACAATGAAGTACTACTCAGCAGAAAAGAAAACAATGGAATGTTGAAATTTGCAGGCAAATGGATGGCACTAGAAGAAACTATCCTGAGTGAGGTAACCCAGTCACAAAAAGACAAACATGGTATGTACTCACTCATGTATAAATTTTAGACATGGATCACGGGAATGCCAACCTACAATCCCACTGCCAGAGAGTCTGGGAAACAGGGAGAGCAGGATGAGAGATACCATAATAGAGGAAGTCATTTTAGGTTTGAGGAAAGATCAGACACTAGTTTGATTTCCAGAGATCTACAAGGATGACACCAACTGGCAAATTAAGCAATAGTGGAGAGGCTACCTTAAAAACCCTTCCCCAATAATGAGATTGAGGACTACCTTATATGTGGTATAGAGCCTTCATCCAGTGATTGATGGAAGCAGAGGCAGATACCCATAGCTAAACAGTGAACCCAGTTGCAGAGAGGGAAGAATGATGAGCAAAGGCGTCAATACCAGGCTGGTGAAACCCACAGAAACAGCTGACCTGAACAAGGCAGAGCTCTTGGACCCCAGACTAGTGACTGAGAGGCCAGCATGGGACTTATCCAGACCCCCTAAATTTGGGTGTAAATGAGGAGGCCTTGGCAATCTATGGGGCCTCGGGTAATAGATCAGTATTTATCCCTGGCATACGAATGGACTTCGGGAGTCCATTTCACATGGAGGGACACTCTCTCATGCTGGACACATGGGGGAGGGCCTAGGCCCTGCCCTGGATGAAATGACAGACTCTGGAGATACCCCATGGAGGGCCTCACCCTCCCTGAGGAACAAAGTGGGGGTTGGGTGGGGGGTTGGGGGAATTGGAGGGCGATGGGGGGAGGATGGGAGGGAGAGGAAGCTGGGATTGACATATGAAACAAGCTTGTTTCTAATTTAAATTTTAAAAAAAGAAAAAGAAAAAGAAGTCCCTTCCAAGGTCAGTGTGTAACTTAGCAGTCACGCTGATGCAATCTCATTGCCACCACCAGAGGTCAGTACACATGCTACTCATTCAGTTAGTCTGTGCATGATAGCGATTATGGTAAAAAAAAAAAAAAATAGGAACATCTTACACACGCTTAAGTACTCACCAGACCTGGGAACCATCAAAATGGGGCCTCTTATGTCTGGAAATTATCACTTCCCTTTGAGAATGTGAGGAGATTTAAGCTTGCCCATACTATTCAATCAGCTCTGTATAAATAGTGATGGCAGAGTTTTTTTCTCTTTCCAGGATTTCGTGCATGTTCAGACAAATGTTCCTCCACTCTACATCCACGGTCCCAGAGTTGCTTTACTCCAGAGAAAGCTAAAACCTGCAGCGCTCACCCTCCTGTGCCACACCCACAACGGTAGGCGGGCTACTCACTTCATTGAAGTGCTGGCTGGTTTTCATGATGTAAGGTGTCCTTTCATTTTTATCCAGCTTCATCCAGCCCTGCCCAAGAAACTCTCTGAAAGTTAAGAATAAAACGCAAAACCAGTCAAGTCTGTGAGAAATGGTGTCCAGACCTTGCATAGTTACCCACATTAGATGGGTCCATTTAAGTTACCATTCATGGAATATTATCCCCCGCCCCGACACCATTTTTACTGATTATCTCTAGGAATTGCAGCTCAAGCCTAGCATCCCACCACTTACTGTCAGAATGAAAAAGACTTTTCAGACTCTAGTGCTTGGAATTTTGTCTCAATAAAGGCTTCTCTGAAATCAGAAAGCACTGCCAATGTAAAGGAAATGAAGTGACCACTAACTCAGCCGTCAAGGAGACAAGTTCCTCTGGGTTAGTCTCTAAGTGTGTCTTTCAATCCCAGATGATCTGTTTTGACAAAACTGCTCCTAGAACTGAAGTCTTCCTTGCAGCCTGCTCTTATTTTCTCAGAAGAGTGGAAGTTTCCAATGTCAGGGCGCTGAGCCTGCTGGGAGGATAGTCTTCTGATGTCCCCCTTGTGCAGTCATTTCATTCATGAGCAGGTCACTAGACTTCCGCACTCATGGGACAGTTGAGACAGGGTGTGTGGGAATCATTTTGTGTGGGCATTTAGAAAGCAATGTGAAATGAAACCATTCTAACGCATTCCTAGTGCAAAAATGTTGGCTGGGCCTTCCTGAAGGTTTATTGTCCCTCCCTCTAACTGGTACTGCTCCTGGCCCCTGTTCTGCAGGTAGACATAGAAGTGTGGACACAGTTTCACAACTGGAAATAACGGGTAGATGTTTCAGGCGCACAGGGAGAAACGGGAGTTCCAGGAAGATTCCACAGCAAGAGCCACACGTTCTCTCTTGGCTCTCTCTCCTCTTGTAGAGAAGGCAAGGAGCGGCCTTCAAAGCTCTGGGTGGTCATGAGGAGATGAGGGGGACCTGTGGAGAGGATATTGCGTTTCCTAACCTCAGTCTTCAGAAAGTCACTGGGTTCCTTTGAATGATCAATGAGCCAGATTCCCATTTCAACTCTGCTCATGTGCATGGGTAGGTCTACACATTCAGGAAAGCCAGGAAAAGACGAAATGCATAAAAACAGTCTACTTGAGCATCCCTGGGCTCTTCCCCTCATGCCTCTCTGACATCACTACTGGTCTAACTGCCTCACCCATCTGCTCTGACCTCACTTACCCCTCTATCACCAGGGATTTCCCATGTATGGCAAGGATCCCATTTCTGCAACTTGCCCAGCCCCTCCGTTTCCTTTAGTGTGGTTAACAGTTAACGGATAATGTGTGCTAATGGTTGTCATTTGTCTAAGCACAGATCTGTTTAAGGGTCTTTCAAGTCAGTGTGGTTGCTGGAGGCTCAAAGAGCCTCCCATTTTTATATAGAAGACAATGAAGAGGTGGGACAGCAGGCAGGCCCACAGCCACTGAGCTCAGCAGAGTGTGCTAACTTACAGGAGGGGTGAAGACCTGGAGCAGACATTACAGCATTAACTGTGGGGCAATGCTTCTCAGAGCAAAGCTTTGGACCCCTCCAAACTATGTGAGGTTCTCATGAAAAGACAATTTTCTGAACCTCAACCAAGAGTATTAAAATTGGAATTTCACAGGAAGTTTGTCTCTGAGAGAACATTTTCTACAAGCTTCCCATATGGCTTTAGACTTACTCAGGGATAAGAACCACAGTTCTAGCTGTGGTGAGGATTCTATAATTTGAAGATGGGAATATACAGAGGAATTCACACTCTTGCTAACCTTATTACATACAGAAGAAGCACAAACCAAGACCATGTCAAGGGTCTCCAAGTCAATGTGCTCAACGTGAACTGGGAAGACATTCATGCACGCTAAAGTACCCCAGGATGGTGACTCAACATCCCTGAGCATGGGTGAGCACATGTGCACACCTGTCTGTCTTACAGATAATGGCAGCTCCGAGGCCAGCTACTTCCTGCTAGGGACAGGGCACTCACTCGTAGGGAATGCTTCTGAAGACAATGTGGTCCAGGAGAGTGATCTGCTCGGCCAGCTCCATGGCTGACAACGTCTCAAAGCACTCGGCCTTTGGATAGTCTGTCTGCAAGAGATGGTGAAGGAGTAAAACACAGTGTATCTGTGGAGCACAAAGTTCTTCACTAGAGTCTAGGTCTTACAGAAAATGCAGCAAACTCAGAACTATGAAAGCCAGTACTGGGATCACCAAGCAGCTGCCAGATCCTGTGTTGAGTGAGGCCTTTCTCATACAAATTCACAAGCAGACACACTATCAACCACGGAGTTGGTCACATGAGTTTGCTCATCTCAAGGATTCTGTAGCTGTACTTACCATTTGAATTATATCCTCTAACTTTAGGTGGATGTCATCTTGATCATCTTGTGATAGAGCCCTATAAGGAAATGTATAAAACATTCTCCATGAATAAGAAAAAACAGGCATGCCAAGAAGCTACAACATCAGGTTCTTTTTTTCTTGGTTGGGAAGTGTGAGGGTTCAGGTGTGTGAGGCTACAAGGCACAACAGGCTGTTGTGATACACACACGCAAAACGGAAGTCAAATGTGGGGTGCAGGAGTGATGCAATCCAAGGTTGTGAATGAAACAACCACAGTCACAGAGAGCCTGAAGGTTGCTGGTGTGCTGCTCCCAGGAAGCCATTAAGGGCAGGGCTCTGGAATTCTCTAGAAATATCCCATTTGTGAGCTGTAGCTATAGACCTGGCACCCACTCATGTTCCTCTAGCCCCTCCCACTCATGTCTCTGTAGCTCTCTCCCTCCATACTGTCCACTGAAGCAGACATAACACAGTATACCCTCTTCTCAGCTTGTGAGCAAAACTTAGAAGAATATAGAGCAGTAGCAAGCAGGTAATCATCTTGCTTTTTTGAGTGTGCATCCCAAACTCAGTGTTATTCAGCTCCCAAAGGGTTATCTTTCAGTCTTTAGATGAATGAATCATACAAAGAGTTAATTAGTACCCAAGAAACCATTTTCAAAGTAGGAAGATGCTTTTATATATCCTACAAAAATTCCAAGTCCAGGAGAATTATAGAGAGTGGGAATTCCATGTTATACCTTGCCATCTGGACCAAGCATTCTAAGTTTTACCACACACTGAGCATTAAAAAATTTAAGCAATTCCAAGCTGCATAGCTTGTCCTAGGGGAGAACTAAGGTTGTTCTCTTTGTTTATTGCTGGGCAGGGTAAGTAAAGCCATAAAAATTGTTAGTGACTCTGGCCAGGGGAGCAGGTAGGCTAACTGCAGATCTTCACCTATTCCTCCTGTCTTCCAAATCCAATCCCCAAATCCTATTCCCGGCTCTGTAGCAGACCACCTGATGCAGCCTCCCTCCCCTTCAGCCCCCACAACCCCAGCGTATCTCACAGATGTTTACCTGTAACCTTCCCATCACTCATCCTGTTATCCCAACTCCCAAATCGAGCAGACATCCCTGGGAACCCACCAGCCAGGTCTGCCAGAGAAGCAAGTAGACCAGCAAAGCAGGCAGACAAGTTTCAGATCTTCACTGTCCCTCTTCTCCTCCATATTTTATCCCTCATCCCATCCCAAGCTCTGTAGCAGATGGCCTATTATGATTTCTCCTCACTCTTTGCCCTCACTCCAAAGGGACTAAGAAGATCCTGGTGGAACACCTGCTTCTCTCCCTCTTGTGGAGCCCATCAGGCCTTTCACCTAGACTATCTCCATACCTAGAATCAAATATTACCTGGAAACTCGAGTGGTCACACCTATCAGAATCCCAAAAGAATTTCCCATCAGGCAACACACAGACACCACACTTTCCTAAGCACCAGAGGGGAAACAGAAGACAAGGAACAAAATACCCACCCGACAAAAACAAGACCTGATATCAGCACATAGAATTGCAATCTTCCCAAAGCCACATGCCTAGACTCTAGAACAAAAACTCAATCAATAATAGCCAAGACAATATGTCTTCAACATGTAAGCCATGAGTATTGAAATATAACTGAAGTACGAGACAAAGACCTCAAAATAGCCTTTATGAATATGACAGAGGTCCTTAAAGAGGAAATGAGAAAAACCCCTTAAAGAAACCTGTTAAGATCAGTGTCTAGTCCAATTGCCATCAGAGGGGCATCATCCAGTAACCAATAGAAGCAAATGCAGAGACCCACTGCCAAACATTAAGCAGATCCAAGGCAACCCTGTAGGAGAGGGGGAAGAGGATTTCAGGAAGGGAGATTCAAGGAACTATGAGAACATAGGCCACAGAACCAACTCAGTAGGGCTCATGGGGCTCACAGAAACTGATGTTGCAAACACAGACCCTGCTTGAGTTAAAGCTAGGTCCTCTGCACATACATGATTGTTGTGTAGCTTGGTGTTCTTGCGAGACTCCTAATGATGGGAACAAGGAATGTCTGATTCTTTTGCTTGTGCTTGGCACCTTTTCCTTCCAATGAGTTGCCATGTCTAGTTGTGATATATGAGGGTTTGTTCCTGGCACTTACTGAGTTCTGTTAGGCAAAGATCTTTCAGGGTGGAGGGAGATGACAGGGACTAGGAGAAGAGGAGGGAAGGGAAACTGCTGTTGGGGTAAAATGTATGAGTGAAGAATAAAAGTTTTGAAAAAAATCTATGAAGACACAAACAGTGGGAGGAAATGAATAAAACAGTCCAAGACCTGAAAGTGGAAACAGAATCAATCAAGCAAACCCAAACTGAGGGAAATCAGGAAAAGAAAAATAGAGGAACTCAAACAGGAGCCTAGAGGCAAGCCTGGCTAACAGAGGCAAGCCTAACAGAATACAAGAGATGGAAAAGAGAATCTCAGCCATTGAAGATGTGGTAGAAAGAATGAGTACTCCAGACAAAGAAAAATGTTAAGTCTAAAATATTCTGGCAAAAAAAATCCAGAAAATCTGGGACACTATGAGAAAACCAAATCTAAGAGTAATAGGACTAGAGGAAAGAGAAGAGAACCCAGATCAAATACACAGAAAACATTTCCAACAAAATCATAGAAGAAAATTTCCCTAACCTAAAGAAGGAGATGCCCATCAAGGTACAAGAAGCATCAAGAACACCAAATAGACTGGACCAGAGAAGACATTCCCCTCAGCACATAATAA